AGGACCCAGGCTGCCATTCTGGGGGCTATTCCCTTCTCTCCCCTCCCCTTTGATAGGGATGGGACCCAGGCGTTCAGGCTGCCGTTCTGGGGGCTCTCGCCCCCCCCGCACTGGAGATGGGACCTAGGCATCCAGGTTGCCGTTCTGGGGGCTCTCACCCCCCACACACACTGGAGATGGGACCCAGGCATCCGGGCTGCCGTTCTGGGAGCTCTCGCCCTGCCCCCCCGGAGATGGGACCCAGGCGTCCGGGCTGGCAGTACCCGTGGAGTTCGGCCCCTGCTGGGTCTGGTTCAGCCGCAGCCCCTCGAAGGCGGCGTTGGGGGCCACCACGAACCCCACCGTGAGCAGGGCCCCCCCCAGGTTCAGCAGCACCAGGAAGCGCAGGAAGTTGAAATACGACTGGATCCCGGTTCCGAAGTGACCTGGGGGGGCAAAGGGCAAAGGGCAGCGTGACCCCGACCGCGAGTCCAAACCCCCAGGCTCCCCAGCAGGGGCCGATCCCAGGGCTCGGGGGGGGGGTCGCTCTCAGCAGAGGGGGGACCCCAGGGCTCAGAGGGGGGGTTGCTCTCAGCAGGGGGGCGACCCCAGGGCTCAGAGGGGGGGTCGCTCAGCAGGGGGGCGACCCCAGGGCTCAGAGGGGGGGTCGCTCTCAGCAGGGAGGGGGGACCCCAGGGCTCAAGGGAGGTCGCTGTCAGCAGGGGGGGACCCCGGGGCTCAGGGGGGGGTCACAGCAGGGAGGGGGACCCCGGGGCTCGGGAGGGTCGCTCTCAGCAGGGAGGGGGGACTCCAGGGCTCAAGGGGGGTCACTCTCAGCAGAGGGGGGACCCCAGGGCTCGGGGGGGTCACTCTCAGCAGGGGGGGACCCCGGGTCTCAGAGGGGGGTATGTCCTACCTTCGATGTGGTGCAGCGAGCCCCTCCACACCTGGGCGTACAGCAGGGCGTCCCCCACCTGTCCCCGCAGGCGGCGCGTCCCCACCTGCCACCGCTCCCAATGGCTCCGTTTCCAGGCCGCCTGCTGCTCCCGGAGCCTGGCGGGGAGAGGGACAGGGGGTGAGACCTCAGACCCCACCCCCACCACTGCACCCCCATTTCCCTCCCATAGCCAGGAGTCCTGGCTCCCAGGCCCCCCTGCTCTGACCACTAGACCCCACTCCCCTCCCAGAGCCAGGGAGAGAACCCAGGGGTCCTGGCTCCCAGCCCCCCCTGCTCTAACCACTAGTCCCCACTCCCCTCCCAGAGCCAGGAGAGAACCCAGGAGTCCTAGCTCCTAGCCTCCCATCCAACCACTCGGGGATAAAACCCAGGAGTCCTGGCTC